ACCTGGGAATCTATTAAAGCTATAAACGGAGAAGTTGGAACCAGACAAGCGGTAGCAGATGCCGAATTTGATACCTTAGTTCAAGGCGGTCTGGTGTCACAAAAGGCTGAAGTTCTCCCTTCCTCCTCTGTCACCAAAGAGGCCACTTCACCATCCTCAACTGTGCCTCTCACTATCTCCCAATATTCAAAAAGTACTGCCTCTGATGAATCAAATGCCATGACAAAGCCAACGTCTTCAAATTATCCAGCGTCCAGTTCTAAGTCTACATCTGCATTCGTCGGAAGCTCCAGTTCTGCAGTCCTAATCTCATTATACGAACGCTGTATCACAATATGATCCATCATTAGCCCTTGTCAGCTTTATTGCAGGCTTGCTCTTTATTTAGTTTTAGTGGTTTATATTAAGTATTAATCGATGTATTTTGCTTAAATAATTACTAAATTCATTATTGAATATTTCCACAAGCCTTTGTTCCAATTACCTAGCTTATAATTGCTAAATTTTCCACTGGTGATCTATAGGATGTAGCCGCAACCCATATTATCACCAACATAAGCAAAATGCATAATATACAAGACCGGATGTTTAAACTGTATTACACGTGGGTAAGAATTATGTCCTTTCAAATTGGGAAATAAATTTCCTCGTGTAATGTGCCCGCAGTTAATACGTATATATATACGAACACAGCCCTCCAGCTTTCCTTGGCGTCCGCAGATAAACGCGTAAATTCCTACCTCAATCACGAATAGGATACGTACATGCATGAAAGCCAATGACGTAATATATATATAACTTTGATAGATGGCCAAAACCGCGTTATGATAATATCTTCAATTACCGGGCTGACGACTTCCGAAAGCATCAACCTATCACCAAAACCAATCTTGACCCTCTGCTTATGCATATTAAAAACGAGAACCATGTTTTCTGATCTCTTGAGATTTTCACAAAGCCACATTGCTACTAGCTAAAGCACCGAAGGGGGACAGCAATAATCTCTAACTAAAAAAAAAAAAAAAAAAAAAAAAAA